CCCCAAAACCCCAAAACCCCAAAACCCCAAAACCCCATTATTAAGCTGTTAAGTTGAAAGAAGGCGGAAAGGGGAATAAATAAACTGAGTAAGGAGGTTTAGTGAAACTGGGTTTTAAGCGGGGAGGAGATTATGTGTGATATGGCAGCCATGGTGTCCGAGAGGTGGAAATTTGGGATTTTGAGACAGAGAGGGGAGTGATGTTTAGATTGGGGAGGGTGAGGAAGGAGTGAGGGGGTTATGGAGTTGGAGATTTTTAAAGTTTTTGGATGCTTTATGTCTTGGAGGTCTTTTGCTTCAAAACTTATGCAAAACTTACTGAATCTTAGTGATCAGTTTTGTTTTGACTTTTATTTTTATATAAATTCTTACACTTAAATATCTTCCACATCCACTTAGACCACCCATCATAATCAGAATATTCGGAAAGTACCTTTATCAAATTTCATTCTTGCTTTCAAACCTCAACAAGCTCTCCTCATCCCTAAGCTCACCTCTAAAGCTATCTTCACCTGAATCTCCTTGGATCTTTTCTGCACACTTCTTTGGTCGCCAATCATTACATAAAATTCAGAATGATCAATTCTTCTCACAGTAAAATTTCTGGTCGGTAAAGTAGGTGTGGAAAGAGTTTCAAAATAATACAATTCAGTGCACCAGAATTTGTTCTGACAAGGAAGAAATTTTAGAACACAGTGGCTTAGAGCATTGACACATTATTGTAGTGACAGGTTAGGATAGTAAGGAGGGTGGAGAATGAGAGGGTGGAGGAATTGGGGTTATGGGAGGAATTTCGAAGGAGAGGGGTGGGGGTGGGAGATTTGAAGAGAAAGATAGAGGAGATTTGGAGATGGTGGAATTGAGTTGGAAGAAGGGTGAGGGGTTTATGGAGGCTGTTTAGAGTGAGCTCTGTTAGAATTTGTTTAATATTTTGGATCTTATTTTTCTGTATAAACAGAAGAAGTTTTTCTTTGTGATGTTTTGTTCTTTGATTAAAATAGCTATTCATTTTTGAATATCTGTTTGATGGCTATAATATTCAAGATTCAAGTCTTATAGTTGTTGTCAGATTCGAAATACTAGAAGGTCTGATCCAAAATTAATTTTTGCCATCAATACCTTCCAACAAAATATCCACAACTCCACAAAACCCCTTTTTCCTCCTTTTCATACCTCCTCAAAAACTACCCTCAAGAACCCCCTAAATCCCCCTAACCACCCAAATCCCTCCCTTTTACCCATCCCAACACCCCCTAAATCCCTCATAATTTTCCTTTTCAACCTAAAATCCCCTAAATGGGGTTTTGGGGTTTTGGGGTTTTGGGG